TGGCTTCTCTTATGTTCTTAGATGGAGCAGAGGTCCATGAGTGGCTATTAGTCACAAAGTAGAGATGAAAGACTCTGTCTGGGGCACTGATGCCCTGTATTTTTGGTGCTTGGGGGGCCACAGTGGGAAGAACTCTGGAGTTCTGTCCCCGTTGGTAGGCATCCTGAGGGCACCTGGACTGGATGGGCCATTGGCCTGATCCAACATGGCTTCTCTTATGTTCTTATAACAAAGGACAATTAATTTTAGTCTGAAGGAGACAGACTTACTGGAACTTCATTCTTAAGTGGCAACAAAATTCTTCTGTGAGCCAGTGAGGTGAAGTGTGGTATTGTGGGCAAAGAGGTAGACTAGAACCCTCGGCAACCCAGGATCAAATCCCGCTTCTGCCATGGAAGCTCACTGGGTAACCTTGGGCCTATGACAGACCCTGGCCTACCTCAGAGGGCTGTTGTTGTGAGAAAACAGAGAAAGGCAGAACCAGGTGCTAAGCTGTTGTTGAGTCCAAACTGGGGAGAAAAGTGAGATATGAATAAATTACTGCAAATAAATAACAAAAGAATTAGCTGTTGTAGATTTTCCGGGCTGTATGGCCGTGGTCTTGGCATTGTAGGACCTGACATTTCGCCAGTAGCTGTGACTGGCGTCCTCAGAGGTATAACACAGAAAGATGGAGTACTCTCTATGTCAAGGTGAGAAGCAAAATGATAGGCAGGTGATTTATATCTACTCAGGAAGGTGGGGTAGGGCTGAGTCATTATCTTGTAGGAGTTCCCCATTGCTGTGAACATTCTAGTGGAGGAGCTTTCCTGAGGAGGTTCTTTTGTATATGGATTGGCTGTTTCCTGAGGAGGTTATTTTGCATATGAATTGCATACTGGGCCAAGAGGTCCTCTTTGAATGAAATTTAACACACATCACTGGATAAGAGGGATGCTAGAAAAATAAGCTACGTGTAGATAATGCAAGATCAATGCAGGACTCACACCAACTCACTTGGTATGGACTACTGATTAGAGCCAGTTTGGTGTAGTGGTTAGGAACATGGACTCTGATCTGGAAGAACCGGGTTTGATCCCCCACTCCTCCACTTGCACCTGGCTGGATGACCTTGGGTCAGTCACAAGTTCTTTCAGAGCTGTTCTCTCAAGGGCAGTTCTCGAGAGAGCTCTCTCAGCCCCACCTACCTCACAGGGTCTCTGTTGTGGGGAGGGGAAGGGAAAGGGAAAAGAGATTGTAAGATGCTCTGAGACTGTTGGGTAGTGTAGGGTGGGGTATAAATTCAATCTCTCTCCCTCCCCCCCCATTGCCCCACACAGATGGGGAGTGCATCCCCAAAGACATCCAGGACTCCCCAAAGCTTTGAGTTGCAGAAGATTGTTACACTACCAACCTTTTCTGGAACCCCAACACTTTTCTGCAGAATCCCCAGATTCCCCCAAACACCATGTTCCGGAAAGGTAAAGAGTTCAACCGTCCTTGCGGCTCTGTTATTTAAACGAATGTGGAGACACTTCAAACACCGCGCACATACTTGTAACTCAAGGATCCGTCCCGGCTTCTTAATGAAGTCCGCCGCAGGTGATAGGTAGCGCTTGGGCACAGTTTCAGCCCAGGAAATCTAACCCGGATAAGCAGGTAAGCGGGGACAACGGAGCCTTCTGAATTCTCTTCGTGAGCAGAAACTCTCTGGTTAAGGTGTGCGACGGAGCAGATTAACTTCCCGGGAGGAGGATCCCTTTCCAGCGCTCATCCGAACACGCTGGCCTGCCAACGAGAACTTGAGAAAAGTTTTTTAAAATTAGAGAAGCGAGATCAACGTGATAAGACACACTGAGAGAGCTATTATTAACTGGCTGCATTTATGGACAACTATATTGGCAAGCCTCACAGCTATTAATTACGGGGGGGGGGGCAGGAGATAGGGTTGTAACCTACAAGGCAGCTGATGTGGTGCGGTGGGGGGAAGAAGAAGAAGAAGAGGAGGAGGAGGAGGAAGAAGAAGAGGAGGAGGACGAGGAGGAGGAGAAGAAGAGATTGGATTTATACCCCGCCCTTCACTACCCAAAGGTGTCTCAGAGCGGCTTACAAACTCCTTTTCCTCCCCCTCCCCACAACAGACACCCTGTGAGGTAGGTGGGGCTGAGAGAGCTCTTGACAGAAACTGCTCTTTTTCAAGGACAGCTCTTATCAGAACTACGGCTTGCTCAAGGTCATCCAGCCAGGTGCAAGTGGAGGAGTGGGGAATCAAACCCGGTTCTCCCAGTTTAGAGTCCGCACACTTAACCACTACACCAAACTGGCTCTCTGGAGGAGGAGGAGGAAGAGGAGGAGGAGGAGGTTGTATTTATACCCCATCCTTCACTACCTGAAGGAGTCTCAGAGCGGTTTACAATCTCCTCTCCCTTCCCCTCCCCACAACAGACACCCTGTGAGGTAGGCGGGGCTGAGAGAGCTCTTTCGAGAACTGCTCTTCCAAGGACAGCTCTGACAGAACTATGACTTGCCCAAGGTCATCCAGCAGCTGCAAGAATGCTGGACTAGAAAGACAGAGGTTAACATCCTTTCTCAGCCATTAAAGTTCACGGTGACCTTGGGCCCAGTCATTCTCTTTGAATTTAACCTACCTTAAAGGGTTGTTGCAAGAATGAAATGGAGAATCATATATACTATCCTAGAAGGAAGGGCAGGACAAAAATATGACAGGTACAGACATTAACCCTGACCTGGATGGCCCAAGATTGTCTGATCTTGACAGATCTCAGAAGCTAAGCAAGGTCAGCCTTGGGTAGTATTTTGGTGGGAGACCAACAAGGAATATCAGGGTCATTACACAGAGGTAGGCAATGGCAAAACCACCTCTGCATGTCTTTCGCCCTGTCCTGCACGGCCAAAACTAGTCCAATCTCATTAGATCTCAGCTGCTAAACAGGGTCGGCTTGGGTTAGTATTTGGATGGGAGACTACCAAGGAAGTCCAGGGTTGCCACGAAGAGGCAGGCACCACCACAAATGTTTCTCCCCCCCCCCCCAGTGATATCCACAAAATGCTGCCTCCTGGGAGACTAAGGAGCAAACCAAGGGAGGTCTGCGGTGGGAAGGGGGAATTGATGGAAACTGCCCGTTCTGGGTCCAACCCTGGAATTTATCTTTCTTGCTTTCCATGTTTGAACAATTGCACAGTATTCATAATATACACTTCTGGAGACCTGTCAGACTCAATTGTCCTCTAACCATTCTGTAAAATAGGCTGGTTGCCACCAGTGATATTTGAGCAAATGTCACCCGTTTGGAAACACTGGCAGCCTCGAAGCCGTGTACAGTACTTTATCTTGAAGTGGTCTGATCAAAACAAGCAATTCATCTTCTTCATTACTAAAGCATGACTTGGGAAGTCCTAGAATAACAGGAAGAGCTGAGAGGTTGCCTCTGTTTAAGACACTTGCTGCAACCAGGAAATGTTGGGAAAATACTCCCAGGATCTGTTATTGGCACCTTTGGTACTAAGGAAGAAGATCGTTTGGTGGATAAGGGTAACCTGAAAAGTTTAAGTCAGCTTAAAAACAGGCAAGAGGAGCTGCTAAAATAAATTTTCTCCTTGGGGAAAAAATATTAGAATGACGCATAACCAAACTAGGTATATAAGCCAACCGTCAGCCTTTCACAGAGCACCTGGTCAAACTCTACTGTGGCTAAGGGACAGAGCTTTGGATGGGATTGTGCATACAGGAGTTGCATAGGGCTGAAGTTACCTTCACGATGCCCTGTTAAGGGCTGACATAGCACAGTGGTTAGAGCAGGGATGTCAAACATGCAGCCCGAGGGCCAGATCAGGCCCCCGGAGGGCTTCTATCATGCCTGCAGTGGAACTGGCTGTCTTCTGCTTCTTCTTCCAGTTCTGCCGCATCATCGTAGGTTTGCAGCTTACAGATACACGCCTGAACACCATACTCAAGATTGCAACAGCACAGACATTTTGATTTAGCCTGGGAAAGAGAAGGCTTAGAGGGGACATGATTGCAGTCTTCAAATATTTGAAGGGCTGTCATGTAGAAGATGGAGCAGATCTATTCTCTCTTGCTCCGGATTGCAAGACTAGATCTAATGGGTGGAAATTACAAGGGAGTCGTTACTGGATAAATATCAGGAGGAACTTCCTAACTGTAAGAGTGGTTGAGCAGTGGAACAGACTGCCCCGGGAGGTGGTGGATGCTCTTTCGCTGGACGTTTTCAAGCGGAGGCTGGACAACCATCTTTCGGGTATGTCGTAGGGCTATCTTTCGGCTATGCTCCTGCAGAGTGCAGGGGGTTGGACTAGATGACCTGCAAGGTACCTTCCAACTCTAACATTCTATGAGTCTATGATTTACTTATTCAGAGCAAGAGGTGTTAGTTATCAGATACTGCTAAATAAACAAAATATTGCAAGAGTTCTAATGTTTTAAGCATGTTTTTATTTTAAGTAAAAAATCTATGTGTTTGTGTCCTTTATAAAGCTTATATCTCTGCTACCTGTTACAGTTGTTGGAACTGCTTCAGAAGGCAGTTGGATCTCCCCATCAAGGTATACGAAGCTGCCTTCTATGGAAGAAGATATTAGATTTATACCCCACCCTTCACGACCCAAAGGAGTCTCAGAGCGGCTTACAAACCCCTTCCCCCCCCCCAACAGACACCCTGTGAGGTAGGTGGGGCTGAGAGAGCTCTGACAGAACCTGCTCTTTTTCAAGGACAGCTCTGACAGAACTACGGCTTGCCCAAGGTCATCCAGCCAGGTGCAAGTGGAGGAGGGGGGAATCAAACCCGGTTCTCCCAGATTAGAGTCCGTGCACTTTACCACTACACCAAACTGGCTTATACAGCTTATATCTCCGGTACTGGCATTAACATTTTATGGCACACGTGGCCCGGCCCGACAAAGTGACATTTATGTTGGATCCAGCCCTTGTACCACATGATTTCAATGCCTCTGTGCTACAGGATTCGAATCCGGCTCTTCGACTGCAAACTAACATGGCTGCTCTCTTGAAACTGTACCAGTCGAGCCACTGATCTGACCCCTCAGGCCTCTTCAGGTCTCCTGTATCAAATGAAAACACAAAGGTCTTCGAAACCTCAAACTGGGATTTATGGACAGAATAATTTATTGGCTTTCTTGATCGTTAAACTCCAGTGTTTTCGACTGGTAACAATTATTCTCCACGGCGGCGGTAGCAGGAGTGTCAAACTGAGGAAAACAATTCAAAAGGTGAACACTGGGGGAAGTGGGGCCGGTTTCCTTCGCTCCGGCACGAAAACAGGAGCAGAAAATAGCGAGAAGTGGACTCAGTCGAAGACACGGCCGACGTCGAGTTACCGCCATATTGCTGTTTTAGCCAAGTATGTGCAGCTGTGATGCAAATGGACGGGAGAAACAGAAATCTCTCGTCTGAAAACGATACAGAGAGATACCGGACTACGAAAATGAGATTTCCCCTTGGCGATCCGTTATTTGAGGGGGAGGGGGAGATGACGGTGATTTCATTCCATCGTCCTCGCCCCCTTGCAGAACAACGAACGCGGGACGGTAACCGATCGGCCGGGGAGGTCTCGACGCTACGACTTTTGACCGGCGACCCGCTGCAAGCACAGCTTCGTGTAGGAGTCCTTGCTGCGGATCTCGATCACCGCGTCCCGCACCAGTTCGATGAACATCTGGGGCCAGAGCTTCTGCAGGGACTCGTTTTTCGTGTTGATGTCGGCCGCTTCCTTCACCAGGTCTTGGACGTAGGTGTGGCAGAATTTCTTCCTGTCCGCCGCTTCCTGTACAAAAGGAACCATTGTTGAGAGCGGAGATCGGGAAACCAATCCCTTTTGGGAATGGCATGCTTTAATTATAAAAATGCCAAAGACATCAGAGAGAGATAGAGAGACGGTGGCTGATATGTCAGTCGCTCCCGGAGAACAAGACGCGCAAACAAGGTAAGGGGATCTCTCTCTCTGTCTCTCTCTGTCTCTCTCTCTCTCAGGGGTGACTCGGGGGGCAAGTTTCTGAGTGTCACTGGAGTGATTCTGCAGAATGAAGTGGCGATTCGTTTTCAGCTAGAATAGCTGGCCAAAGGAAGCTAAGAATTAGAACACTTTAGTGACTTCAGACAGTTGCTCGGTCACAGGATATGGGCAAAGCCAGCAACTGCCTGCAGACACGCCTTCTTTGCTGTGGCCCCCATCTATGGATTGGCCTCCTGGCTTCCCGCAAACTATGCAAAGCTGAATTACCTGAGAGTGCTTTTTGCCGCAGGCAAATGGAGTTGCACTGTACTAAATCTGAAGAAGTGAGTGGTGACTCACGAAAGCTCGTCCCCTGCCACAAATTTCGTTTAAGGCGCTACTGGACTCCTGCTCTTTCGTACAGCTATGGATAGACATGAGAGAAGCCAGTGTTGGATCAGGCCAATGGCCCATCCAGTCCAACACTCTGTCACACGGTGGCCAAAAATACCAGGGGCCATCAGGAGGTCCACCAGTGGGGCCAGGACACTAGAAGCCGACCGATAGCTTTGTGTGTAAGAGTGGTTGAGCAGTGGAACAGACTGCCTCGGGAGGTGGTGGAGGCTCTTTCACTGGACGTTTTCATGCGGAGGCTGGACGACCGTCTTTTGGGTATGTTGTGGGGGTATCTTTCGGCTATGCTCCTGCAGAGTGCAGGGGGTTGGACTAGATGGCCTGCAAAGTCCCTTCCAACTCTAACATTCTGTGATTCTAATTTTTAGGGACTAGATTTATACTACTATGTATAGCTTCTTGAAACTAGGAGCCAACTATGTAATTTTGGCCTCATTTGATGTGTCGTATTAATACTTGTGCTTAGCTTCGGTTCTGTTTTTAGACATCTGGTTGGTTCTACAACCCTAATTCCTGTTGCATTGTTCATTGAACATCCCATCCCGTAGAGGGTATTGACTCACTCGGCCGAATCTGCCTTAAACTCAAGTGAGAAAGGCAGATTGTAAATAGCGTAAATCAACATAAATTAGCACCTCTGTCAAAGGTGCTCTCCATCTTCGGAGGTTTTTAAACAGAGGCTCGATGGCCATCTGACAGCAATGCGGATTCTGTGAACTGAGGCAGATCATGAGAAGAGAAGGCAGGAAGGGCTGCCTCAGTGCTTAGTTCTTGTGGCCCTTTCTTACACGCCCAGGGAAATGCTGATCGCCACGTCTGGATGAGGAAGCAATTTTCTCCAGGCCAGTTGGGCTGGGAATCCTGGGCTCCGGTCACACGGGCAGGAAACTGTGGGGGAGAAGCGTGGCTGTTTGCCCCGGGGCAAACTAACGCGTAGTTACTCGATCAGACCTCCCCTGGAGGTTCCGTGGAGGTCCCGTGGAGGTTCCGTGGGAAGGGAGAGGTGCTGATCACAGGATGATCCTGCGCGCAACAAAGAAGCGCGCGGTGCGGCAAACGGGTGGGGTTTTTTTTGTCGTGTACACCAAAAATGCGCATGCTCCGTTGGGTGCTTGTGCGCATCCACGGAGACTTGGGAAAAAAACACCTTGTTTGCAAGGGGACATGGGCGGGCGCCGGATGCCACCGGAAATGCGATCAGACGCCCGCCCTTGCCCCGCAGTTTCCGGAAACTAGTACCTCCGAGGTACTAGTTTTTTGCAGCGCGGTTTCGGGGATTTTTGTAACAGCTTATTTATTTACTGTATTTATAGTGAGATGCTCTCACGAAAACTCAAGGCAGACTAAGCGGCCTAAGGAGATGCAATCAGTAGGGCGAGACTTCCACAGGACTAAGACAGTTAGATTTGAGTCATATAGGACTATTTTTATTGCAGACCAACACGGCGACCCTCTGACATCAGGACTAGGATTGCAGAGCGCTGAAACAGACCACAGAGTCTCAGACACGGATCGGTTAAAGCACGAAGACAAAAATGGAACGATGCCCCAAGGAAATAATGCCGCGAGCGCAGAATAATACACACACAGCAAGCAGAAAATACGTCCTGTACGGTTTGCATGCTGCTGATACATCAGGTGATGTTAAACTGGAGAGGGCATACACAGGGACTCAAAAGCAGGAGGATGCCGGGAGGGCCACAGGAATAAACAGCTTTAAAAGGGGATTAGATAGAATCATGGAGGAGAGGTCTGTCCGTCGCTACCAGCCATGGCGACTGAGGGGAACCTCTGTAGCAGGAGGAAAGAGCAAGAGTCCCAGAGCACCCTAAAGACGAACAAAATCTGTGGCAGGCTAGGAGCTTATGTGACTCTACTCAGACTGACAGTGGCTCTACAGTGTCTCAGGGGAGGTCTTTCACACCACCTAACATCTGATCCTTTCAGCTTATGTCCTTATAGACAGCTTCAGGAGGGAACTGGATCAACATAGGCAGCAGAGGTCAGTCAGTGGCTATGAGCCACAAGGTAGAGATAGGAACACTCTGTCTGGGGCAAGGGATGCTCTGTCTTCTTGGTGCTTGGGGGGAGGCAACAGTGGGAGGGCCTCTAGTGTCCTGGCCCCGCTGGTGGACCTCCTGATGGGGTTTGACCACTGTCTGACACAGAGTGTTGGACTGGATGGGCCATTGCTCTGACCCAACATTGGCTTCTCTTATGTTCTTATGTCTGGGGCAGTGATGTTCTGTATTCTTGGTGCTTGGGGAGGGCAACAGTGGGAGGGCTTCTAGTGTACTGGCCCCGCTGGTGGACCTCCTGGTGGCACCTGGGTTTTGGCAGCTTTGTGACACAGAGTTCTGGACTGCGTGGGCCACTGGCCTGATCCAACATGGCGTCTCTTATGTTCATATGGGTCTCTGCTCACTTCTTCAGGGAGAAGATGTGCCACGCTTTTGGGCCTTACAAAGACACATCTGCTCCAGTGGTTCCCCACCAACGCCCTTAGCATTTGGACACTAATTGCGAAAAGTCGCTTCCAGAAGGGCCTCCGTCTTGCCTTTCCATTACTACGGTTTTGCCAGAGCTTGACTTTACGGTAAGCCTGGTGCAGGAGTTTGACTGGGGTGGGGGGAGGAGTGGGGAGGGGAATGTACTGTTGCAGCGGCAGGCCTTTCACATCCAATTATCCTAATCTCATTTTTATGCAGGCCTTCCCACAAAAGCCCCGTAACTCTTACCCCCTCTGAAAGCCCTAACAACGTTAAATCTGACTGATTTATGGTGCGGCTGAGGGGGGAAACGTGAAGTCATGCACCTTCGCCACTCCGAACTGCACAGGGCTTATTTTTAAACCGGCAGTAAAAACAATAACAACAATATATAAGAAAGGAGGACAAATGCCTTCCAGCTGCCTAGACCCTAAGGAAAAACCCACCCAAATAAATAAACTGGTGAACATAACTTTCCATCCTTAAGTAGGAAACTGGGCCTGTCGTTTTTATGGGGTTAGTTCGCTCGCGATGACAGGCGGGAACTGGCAACTGCTCCCCATCTCGTTGTCCCTCTCCCCTCCGTTTTCTCCTCACAACAACCCTGCGAGGTAGTTCGGCTGAGAGGGAGCAACGGGCCTGAGGCCACGCAATGAGCTCCCACGGAACAGTGGGGAATCAAACCAGGGTCTCCCAAATCCTACACCCGACACTGCCATGAGAAATCTCACGGGAACCTCTTTCAGGGCAGGCTGCTTGTTCTGAAAGGTGAGCGCTGACGGCGACCTGGGCCTGGTGCACTCTTAGCAGCTTTAAATTGTGCAGGCTTCGTTTTTCTTACGGAAACCCCCTTGCGCTGAATGGGAGCAGCTGTATCTAATAGCTGGTCCCCTGTGCGGTTAAATAACCCGCACAGTGGAGTCAGCTACAGGCAAGGCAGGTAGGGGGTCTCTTCCTACATGGGGGTCAAAACGGTAAAGGTTTCCCTTGCTCAAAAGCCAATCGGATCCAACTCTAGGGGGCAGTGCTCATCTCCGTTTCCAAGCCGAAGAGCCAGCGCTGTCCAAAGACGTTTCCGTGGTCATGTGGCCGGCATGACTAGATGCCGAAGCGCACGGAACGCTGCTACCTTCCCACCGAAGTGTTTCCTATTTGTCTACTTGCAGTTTCTTGCTTGCAGACTGCTAGGTTGGCAGGAGCTGGGGCCGGAGACAGGAGCTCACTCCGTCATGCGGCACTCGGGTCTCGAACTGCCAAGCTACTGACCTTCCGGTCTGCAGCTCAGAGTCTTAACCACTGGGCCACCGCGGCTCAGGGGACTCATATAAATTAAACAAAAGGGGGTGGGGAGAAGATTCAAATCATAGCCTGATGAGAATTTAATATGCCCTGAGGGGGAGACTCATATCATGGCCTCATGAGAATTAAATATGCCTGGGGGTGGGATGGAATATTGAGAATATAGGATTATTGAGACCGGCTGAGTGCCAGGCAAAAAGGGGAGAGGGGCAAAGAAACCCATCCGCCTGGAGAGCTCAGAGCCACCCTGGGAAGGGGGCAGAGATCGACGGCTGGGGTGGGGTTTCCAAATCGTTCTCATCCAGCGGTTCTTCACAGGCCACCAACTCGTTCTATGTAACATGCAAACAAATGCAAACCTTAAAAGAGGTGATATAACACAGAGGGTAAAAGATAGTGCTACAAACCAGGAAGGCCGAGGTTCCAAACTGATTTCTGCCACAAATGCGCTATAGCTGTAGAGCCAGGTTGGTGTAATAGTTAAGAGCGCATACTCTAATCTGGGAGAACCGGGTTTCATTCCCCACGCCTCCACTTGCAGCTGCTGGATGACCTTGGGCAAGCCACAGTTCTGTCAGAGCTGTTCTCTTAGGAGCAGTTTCTGTCAAGAGCTCTCTCGGCCCCACCTACCTCACAGGGTATCTGTTGTGGGGAGGGGAAGGGAAAGGAGTTTGTAAGCCGCTCTGAGACTCTGAGTGAAGGGCGGGGTATAAACCAAATCTCTTCTCTTCTTCTTCGTGTAATATGGGAGAACCGGGCTTGATTCCCTACTCCTCCACATGCAGCTGCTGGTGTGACCTTGGGTCAGCCACAAGTTCTTTCAGAGCAGTTCTCTCAAGAGCAGTCCTCGAAAGAGCTCTCTCAGCCCCACCTACCTCACAGGCAATGCTCCCTCTAAACCGTGGAGTCGTGTGAGCAAAAATTCTACTTTGTGAGCTACTGGCATTAAAGTTGTGAGTGAACAATTTGGCTACTGCATAAATTAGTTTGCTCTGGAGCCATCCTTCCCGAGCTAAGACCAAAAGGTGTGAGCTGGAGGCTAAAAAACTGTGAGCTGGCTCACATTAACTCAGCTTAGAGGGAACTTTGCTCACAGGTTGTCTGTTGTGGGGAAGGGAGGGGAGATTGCAAGCCGCTCTGAGACTCCGAGTGAAGGGCGGGGTATAAATCCAATCTCTTCTTCTTCTCCAATCAGAAAACAGAAAATGGGCCTGACTAGATTTACAGGGGAGAGTTGCCTGAATGAACTTAGATGGTGCACATGAATAGCTCTGGGACCTTTGGAAACCTGGGCTTTCACAAGGACTCGTGGGCCCTTCTAAACGGTCATCGGTTGAAACCCATTCAAGGAAAGCCACGCGGAAACTCTGGAACTTGAGACTTTCCATGCCTGTGCATTCCAACGGCACATCCTTACTGCATTATACATACGGCCCCTTTCACCACTTGTGAAACCCTAACCTGTTTATACTTGTCTTACAGGCACACGAAGGGAAAGGGGGTGGGGATGGGGGAAAGCGTGGCTTTGCGAGCGGCCCCGGTCTGTGCCGGGAAATCTGTTGACTGTAAATGCACAGGTCCGTTTATGGATGATTTTTAACGGCGCTACTGTGCCATTACGGCACGCGGGGGGTATCTGTAACGTTCCCGTCCGACCTTGAAATAAACTGTTTGCCCGCTGATGGAAGTCAACTGTGGCGGTTTGGCGAGCGAAAGAAAATATATAAATGGAACTGATTGTGAAGTAGGCGAGCTAGGGGGGGGGGGGGGGGGAGAGAAGCAAACATTCCGATTTTCGGCAAGGTGCCCCAATCCGTCTCCTTACCTCCAGCTTCTCTGCCTGGGAGTCCCGCGTGGAATAGCATAACAGACCCCGACTCATGTTCTCCCCTCCGGGCTTACACCGGTCGCCGCCATCTTCGCCAGCGGCCCCCAATTTCTTCCCCTTCCCCTCCAAAAGATAACACAATTGCTTCTTCCTGCAGACCCGACAAGAGCGAGAGTTACAAGCGTGATTTGCTTTCAGTTCCTTTCAGATCCGACCACCAACGTATCTGTTTACAACGTTTATAAGATTCCCAGTTATATTGCTATTCCTGACAAGCAAAAACAGCCTGAAGATGTTTACTGGTTATCTCAGAAATGCAGTCTTTTATAAACACAGGTATCTTGACAAGCACTTCTAAGCAATTCTCCAGAATAGGGAAGGAAGGAATCTAAACACAAGGGGGAGAGAAAATAAACGTTTTATAAAAACACAGGAAGCTCGGTAGAGGCTTACAAGACTCTAAGCTGGCAATGCCTAGAGAAGCAGGAGGGAGGCTGCATTTTTTGCATACAAAGATCTTGTGCATGCATATCCCCCCCCCCTTCACTTTTATTTGAACACAATTCAGTCTTTTGGGAACAGCAGACCTAACTGATCATACAAAACTGCTGTATACAAGTCTGACCCTCTGCTCCGTGGAGCCCAGAACTGTCCTTGTCTTTTTGATGCGGATGTCATAAGAATATAAAAAGAAGGGTCCTGCTGGATCAGACTGATAGTCCATCTAGACTCCAGCACCCTGCCTCAAACAGTGGCCAACCAGTTCCTCTGCAGGGCCAACAAATGGGCACAAAGGCTGAGGCCTTCATAAGAACATCAGAAGAGCCCTGCTGGATCAGACCAGTGGTCCATCTAGACCAGCATCCTGTCTCACACAGTGGCCAACCAGTTCCTCTGGAGGACCAACAACAGGGCAGAGAGGCCGAGGCCTTCATAAGAAGAGCCTAGGTGGATCAAATTGACGGTCCATCTAGTCCAGCATCCTGCCTCACACAGTGGCCAACCAGTTCCTCTGGAGGACCAACAACAGGGCAGAGAGGCTGAGGCCTTCATAAGAACATCAGAAGAGCCCTGCTGGATCAGACCAGTGGTCCATCTAGCCCAGCATCCTGTCTCACAGAGTGGTCAACCAGTTCTTCTGGAGGACCAACAACAGGGCAGAGAGGCTGAGGCCTTCATAAGAACATCAGAAGAGCCCTGCTGGATCAGACCAGTGGTCCATCTAGCCCAGCATCCTGTCTCACAGAGTGGTCAACCAGTTCTTCTGGAGGACCAACAACAGGGCAGAGAGGCTGAGGCCTTCATAAGAACATCAGAAGAGCCCTGCTGGATCAGACCAGTGGTCCATCTAGCCCAGCATCCTGTCTCACAGAGTGGTCAACCAGTTCTTCTGGAGGACCAACAACAGGGCAGAGAGGACGAGGCCTTCATAAAAAGTGCCCAGCTGGATCATAAGAACATCAGAAGAGCCCACGTCTTTCCTTTCAAACAGACTCACAACTGCTTTTGCTATCCCAGGCCCCCTGGAGCACCGCCAATCCCCCATCAGACATTTGGGGGCTTATGGGGCGGGGCGGGGGCTGGCTTTTGGTTAATAAACAAGGCCATGTTTTTTGCAGAGCCGGGAAATCCCCCAGGAATCTAGAACCCCCTTCTTTGTCTGCGAGTGGCCAGACTCTGCTGCCTTTGTGAGTATAACTGAGGACCGGACGGTTTCCTCTTAAAAGGAATACTATTGCTATAGATACACCTAGGAGTACGCATGCAGATATATGTCACCTGGTTTCTCCCAGCAGCGAAAGAAGGCGGCAATAAGGTAAATCGGAGGATGCGACGTAGGCCAAGATGCCAAACAGTTTTTCTGCCATGACGACGTCATTCTGCGTGACCTGCGGAAGGCAGATAAGATATGTGATATAAGAAAATATTTAGGCTATATATAACATCGGTCGTAATCAATGCTCCCTCTAAGCTGTGGGGTCTTGTGAGTAAAAATTCTACTTTGTGAGCTACTGGCATTAAAGCTGTGAGTGAGCAATTTGGCTGCTGCATAAATTAGTTTGCTCCTTTGAAAAGATTGGATTTATACCCTGCCCTTCACTCAGAGTCTGTGAACTCTCAGTCTGGGGCAAGGGATGCGCTGTATTCTTGGTGCTTGGGA